AATTGATGTCTTAATGACATTTAAAAATATTAATACTTCATGTAATCAAATGTAACCATCTTAATATATAAGTATATATAAGCTGCCTCGATGCACTATGAATTGGCATTCGCCATGTTTGCTTTGCTTCTTAGATATGTAAATGTTGCCAGAAAACAAATTACAGCACAATATTCACTTCTATGCCAGTCAAACCTATTTCCTAAATTCTGACTACAACCAAAATAAGAGAGAACAGGATTATAGATTGAGGACAGAAAATTAACTATTACTCTTCAGAAAATACAGCACAATAACTGGCATCTAGCAAGTATAAAATTAATGTTAAATAAATTATGATAAAGAAAAATAACTGCACATTGCTAAGGAGGATTAAACAGATGAGCTCTTAAACGTAACTGATTTTAGACCTGGTTCTGTTATAAATTGCATATCCTCAAGCACATCACTTAAACAAGATTAAGACTCTTTCCTCATCTGCAACAGATACGTATAGTCTCTTAAAGACTATAAAAACAGCTCTTCTCTTAACAAAATGAAATACAAAAATATGAAACTAGTAAAAGTAGGAAAACACTTCAGGACATTGGTCTGGGCAAGTACTTCCTGAATAATACCCCCCAAAGCACAGGCAATCAAAGCAAAATTGGACAAATGGGATCACACCAAGCTAAAAAGCAGTTCAGCAAAGGAACAATCAACAAAGCCAAAAGAAAACCCAAGAGTGGGAGACAGTATCACAGACTACCCATCTAGCAAGTATACAACAGGAAAAATCAAATGCTCTGATTCAAAAGTGGGCAAAGAATATGAATAGAGACATTTCTCAAAGATACACAAATGACCAAAAGGTATATGAAAAATGCTCAACATTCCTAGGCAGAGAAAAGCAAATCAAAACTATAATGATGTATCATTTCACTCCAGTTAAAATAGCTTTTATCAAAAAGACAAGTAATAAGGAATGCTGGCAAGAATGTAAGAAAGGGGAACCCTTATGCACCAATGGTGGGAATGTAAATTAGTGCAACTACTACAAAGAAGACTATGGAGGTTCCTCAAAAAACTACCAATAGAACCATCATATGACCCAGCAATCCCTCTGCTGGGTTCTGGATATGTTTCCAAAGGACGGCAACCCAGTATATCAAAAAACTATCTGCACTTTCTTGTTTATTGTTAAGACTTCAAATCAACCCAAGAATCTATCAAAAGATGAATGAATAAAGAAATTATACATATTCACAATTCAGTATTATATAACCATAAAAAAAATTAAAGCCAACTCTTTGTAACAACCTGAAATGGAATTGGAGAATGTTAGGTTAAGTGAAATAAGCTAGGCATAGAAAGACAGATGTTGCATGTTCTCATGCATCTGTGGGAGCTACATAATATAAACAACTGATCATCTGGAGATAGAAAGTAGAATGATGGCCCCCAGAGGCGGGGAAGGGTATTGGGAAGAGGGGGATAAAACAGGGGTGGTTAATGGGTACAGAAACAGATAGAAGGTGGCGCCTGTGGCTCAAAGGAGTAGGGTGCAGGCCCCATATACCAGAAGTGGCGGGTTCAAATCTAACACCGGCCAAAAAAAAAAAAAAACAACCCATAGATAGAATAAATAATATTTTATAGCACAACAAAGTGACTATAATTAACAATGAATTAGAGTGTACTTTAAAAGAACTAAAAGAATGGAATTGGAATGGTCCAATACAAAGAAATGATAAATGAGGTGAGAGATATTCTAATGCCCCTGTATCAAAACATCACATGTACCCTATAAAGATATACAAATATTACATACCCATAATTTTTAATTTAAATAAAATTATAGTAAATATAAAAAAAAAGTTAGAACTGTTCTAAATAATCTATTACTGCCATGCTTGTCATAGTCAGTTAATTCCTAATAATATAAAAATCACAGTGTGATTAATTCTAGTGCTTTAAAATAATAAAAGCGATATTTTACTATTTTGTAGTAATTTTT